TTGAATTGCTGTTTTGTTATGCCAGCTTGGCTTATAATTTCAGGCAAAATCAGCAGGCTTTTGTGTGTTTTGATTGTGTCTACTTTTGATTATACTTTAAAGTAAGGTATGTCTGAGATTGTTGAATCTGGTTGAATGCATTTTAATGATATGTATATTTAGTGTAAGGTTTTTCTTATATGTATGGTTGTGTTTATTTTGGATATTCACGAGAATTTTTTTGGTGGTAATTTTATTTGGGTATTCATTTGGGTACTATAAAAGTATTTTTATTATAATTGCATATATAAATAACTATTAAGTATTATAAATTGTAACACACATATGTGGAGAATATCACACAGCAATGTGAAATATCAAGAGTTATGTCACCAAAAGGCTCAAAAGTGAAGCTTCTAGTAATCTTATATGAATTTGCATCTTTGTACTTTCAGATATAAATAATTATTGCCATATAAAATTATTATTTTCATCAAAAAGAGCACTACAATACAGAAAAATACAATGAATAATAAAGCTAAATTAAGAAAAAGCAATGTTAAGCTTAAAAAATATTAATAAATGTGAAAGAAAAAATTGTTTATTGTTAAGTTTATTTAATTAATCAAAAAATTAAGATGTCATTTATCATAAAATATTAAATTCAGTTTTAAAATACTAAAATATATAACAATTTTTTTAAAAATTGGAATTAAAGTAAAATTTTATTAATTTGTTTTTAGCTTCAAGAATAGGAGTTGACATTACTCGACAGCAGTCATTGTTTCTTAATGATTATTTTAGAAACTCTGATTCTAATTTTACATCAAGATTAGAAAATATTAATTCTACAAGCCATGAAAGTGGTTTGAATCCTGAAACTAATAGTAGTTTGTCACCTAGTAACAATGGAAGAAGACATTCCAGTAGGAATCATCCAACTGGATATTTCCAACCACTTCGTGATGTTGAGTTATCTAGACAGATCATAACACCTTGCAGTAACAGTCAACAACCTCATCCAGAAACAAGTAAGAATTTGTATTACAGTATAAAGGGAAAAAGTCGACAAGGGTTCACCGAAAGTTGTGTTTCTTATTTATTTGAGTATGGTATGCAATATGAATGGATTTTCATTAATTATGAGATTGGCTTTTTTTTTTATTTAGTTTGATTTTAGTGTAGATAAAATTGATGATAATCAGTATGTAGTTTGATATTATACAGAATGAAATTGTGGAATAAAATATTTTAGTTAATGCATATAATATAAATATGCATGTATATGCATATTTATATACATGCATAGTATAGCATATTTATATACATGCATGTATAGCATACAGTCATACCCCAGACTTACGCGATAGGTGGGACCGAGCGATAACCGCGTAAGTCGAATTCGCCATGATTATTTTATACTTATTATTATTAAATTATTTATAATTATGAATTAATTTAACAGGAAATTTTAGTTTTTATATAACTTAATAAATTTCATGCTTTTTATGTTTAAGTTTTTATAAATTTGGTATTAGTGTTTCTTTCATATTTGAGTATTAAATCTTTTATTTACAACATTAAATACATCTTATATTACATTTAATTGTTAAGAAAACTATTATTATAGTAATACAATCTATTATTTTTTGAAAGAAACCAAATTTTAATGTAGATAATGTAAATTTTAATTTTTTCCTAGTTGTTTCTGCAAAACTTCATTCATCATCATTTTTTAAACCAAATCCTTATGTTGAATTATATGTTGATGGAGGAGCACCAGTGAAAACTGATTACATTAAAAGTACTTCATTTCCAAAGTGGGAGGAGCATTTCCCATTGTATGTGTGCTTTTTTGTTGTTTGTTTTAAGTATGTATTAAGTAATAAGATTATAATTTTATATTATTAAAATTAATTAATTAGAAGTGGTAAAAAAAAGAGATGATCTCATTATAAAATTTTTTACATAGTTCTACTTCAAGCAAGATGTAATATTTTGAAAGAAAAGTTACTAAGGCAAAAGTATAATGATAAATAATAATAACAAACAAGAATTATATTTGTGTAAATTATTGGCTCTTTATAAACTTTGCTTTCATTAAAAAAAAAAGTTAAGAGTTTTTAAAGGTGATGATGACTAATGATTGATGAATATGAAAAGATGATCTATTTGGTTATGATTTGAATAATTAACATAATATAATATATCCATTATATAAAAACAAAGTNTAGCAGTATTCATAATGACCGGTCAATTTGATAAATTAATCAATATTTATCACACTGCCTGCCCTATTTGGTCATTATTCATAATGCCCGATTAATCACTTTGTCCATAACATATATATATTAAAAAGGTTAATTTTTTATAAAGTAATTCACATTGAAAAAGTTACATTATACAGAAGTGTGGAAACATTCAACTGCTGTTTATGTCATGTGCTAATAATAAATTAGATATATTTAGTTTCATTAGACAATGCTGAATTATTCATACATTTCAACATTACTGAAACCAGGTTAACATTTCAAGAAGTAACCAGAAAAACTGGATCAAGAAATGGCTAGGCTAGTAGGCACTTTTTGAATTGACAAGTTTCAGCATGTTGCTACATACCCCCATTAATGGACACTCCTGAATAGTGGACCCTTTCACTTAATGGATGTTTTTACAATTCATACATCCTTCAAATAGGACATATATTAACCTCTAAATAGCAGATGCTGTTGTCTGTAACCAATGTTACAAAAACACTGTGCCTTCAATGTGTGCTTTTGATATTCTGAAACAATTAATTACATATGAAATATTTTAAAATGAAAACAAAAAATCTGAATTTTGACAGGCATTGAATAAAGACTGGCTGAAAATAGGAATAGGGAAAGATAGATTGTAAAAAGCTGAACAATACTCTTTATCTGTTAGAGAAGACTAATCAGGTTAAGTTGTGAATTACCACTTACTTATTGCCATAGATATTAACATTATCAGACTTTGTTATTGTTGGAATTAAGCTTATGGTATCAAGAAACCATAAACTTTTCCTGAGTTATTCATTCATTCAATAAGAACCATAGTACATTAATAATGAAAATAAACTTAAAAACAGTTATGACAACAACGGGTTGCTCTGGAAAATTTTTAAAAAATTGCCAATTGTTTTGCCACTTTAAATAATTTATTGCCACCGGTTTTACTTACTTATTAATGCAGATGCTGGTACATAATCAGTTTGGAGTCTGGAAAGCAAAAGCAACATGTTATTACTTAGAAATAAGAATCATTTTTCAATAATTTTTTTAATGAATAATTTGATCATAATGCTTAAACAGTATTTCACAGGTTCTGTCATATAAAAATTTTTTGCTTTAGCTTCAGCATACATTATGATTCAGTTCCACCCTGAATTTTGAAATAAGCAGACTAGAATTTTAAAACCAAGTGGCAAATTTGGCACTATGCAGCATGATCCTTGTAACAGTGTTTGTCAAAGATCATATTATGAAGGCAATTTGCCAACCACTTTAAAGTGTGGGAAGATATTCAGTAATCTCACATTTATGATCTTAACAGCTTTGTGGGTGCCTTAGATGTAATTTTTAATAGATCATTTATTGAAAAAAGCAAAAAATGTGTGACAAATTACACCTACTAGATAGCTGCAAAACAGAAAAATTACTATATCAATTTTCATTCATCACTTAGATTTCTGTCCAATCTATTTGCTATTTAGAATTTGATAAAATGAAATTTTTATGGCTGAAAAGATGAATAATATACTGTATATAATTTCTATTTATATAATTATATATCCTACTTATACTTTTTAGTATATTCACATTCCTAATGCAAATTTGATGTTTTCATAATCCATTGTATTCTTGACTATATGATGACCATGTTAAAATACAGTAAATTTTATTTGCCATGAATTACTTCTTGAAAATTGAAGGTGTATAGTCAGAAGCAAAAGTGAACACTTTTGATTCTCACTATATATATCAATATATAAAAGAAATGTACAGTACAGTATTTCCTATTAATGGACATCTCTAGATAGTGGACAAACTTCTTGGTTCCAGCAGTATCCACTATTTGGAGGTTATACTGTATATCAAATAGAAAATACAGTGACTATTTTTGAAGAAGTAATAGCATAAAAAATATAAAAAATTGCTTAGCATTTTATTTTAGCTACTGAGAAGTTTTATAAAGATTGCTTAGTATCAAGATACTAGAAATTGAATAGTTATTGAGATGAAGTGAAAATATATAAGATGCAAATGCATTTTATATATGGAAAATTGTTAATTTCTTGTGATGATTTTGTGATTATTTTTGTTTAATATTGTTACTATTTAAAATTATATTTAATTTAATGAATTATTTGCATAAAATTTTTATTTCAAATTTGTATGTATTCAAAAGAAGCTAAAATAAATTTAAGTTTGGTTTGTTTATAAAATGAAAGTTATAATGTAGCCATAAACAATTGCTATATTAATGCCAAAAATATTTGCTATTGATATAGCAATTGTCAGGCTACATCAAATTTTCTGATTTTGAAGGTATCATTGCTTACAACAGTAATATCTAGCAGTTTGGTTGTGTTCTATTTTTTAAAAATATTTTTAGTACAGCTGTCCCTTGATAGTCTGATGTTTTGTAATCCGACATGCTCAGTAGTCCGACGCACATCCCGTCAAGGTACCCATCCCCATTACGTGTTTGCTTGCACAGAAGCATGTTGCAACGTGAATCTCCCCACCCAATTCTTTCATGATGACACACATTTCGTGTGTTTTCTGTGAGCAGTTCTGTTTGAACAGTTGGAGTAGAGAATATTTTAGGCTACTACTAGGAAAACAATGCCAAATATGTAATCACTTTCGCTAATCCGGACACTTTTGGTAATCTGACACCCCTTTGGTCCCATACCTGTTGGATTATCAAGGGACAGCTGTAGTTATTAAATATAGAAAATTATTGTTAATATGTTACAAAATGTTAATTTTCAGATTTATGAAAGTTGAAAAGAATTGAAGATTATGATGGCATTATCATCTTGATTTCTAGGAAATGATAAAAGAATTGTAAAGGTTAGTAAAATGTTTTATGAAATAATATTTATGCTGTGAAGTTATAAAATACATGGTTTAACCAATTTGTCATTTTTTAATTATTAAATGCTTTTTAATTTGCTTTGTATCATATCCTCAAACCTTGCTACTCAAATTTTATCCACTTTTAATTAAGATAGAAGGCTGAAACTTTGAGGATATATTTAAGTCTAAAGACAATGCATTTTAATGATGTTTTAAAAAGTGGCCCTTTCCACTATTCCACTTCTTTCCAACTGAAAATCCAATAAACACATCCAAATAAAGAATTTGATCATGATGTATGTGTAAATGCAGTAATGTATATGATGGGATGATGTCATTCCTACCATTCCCTACCCCAGTCTTGAAAGAAATAACCAATAAAAGTTTTTTTAATTTTTAAAAGTTTATTAATTCATTTAATTCTATGTATTGAAATAATTGTCAAGCTTATTTGACATTCATAAATTAACGTTAGATGTATATTTGTATGAACCTTGCAAAATTTCAGAATTTTTGAACATGGACTTTTGGAGATATGTAATGCTGAGATATTGCAATTTTGGCTGAATACAAACAATATGTCACTCTTACTTTTAGCATATTAAATCAATTAAGTTTTATTTTAATTCACTTGTAGTACAGGTCAAACATTTGGGATGTAATCTAATACTACACTGGATACAGTGGTAGACAGCATTTACAACAGACACATTTAGTTGTGAATCTTTTTTCACAAAGTATCCAGAATTAATGTTTCTTCTGTAAAAGTTGTTGTTTGAAGGTTGTTCTCTCTGGGTCTAGGGTGCAGGAACTAGAAGCTTTACCATCTATCTCTCTATCCTGGGTTTGGAAGAGCCAAAACCAGTTTTCTTCTGAACTTGAGATCACATTAGTGTTGCCTTGAACAGTTTGATGCAGCTTCCATGTATGATGACAGACACATTGATAAAATTCATAATAGAGAACATCATTTCTTTCCCTTATAAATCCTGCAGTTCAAGAGCAAGCAGTCTTGTAAATTCATGTTTTTCATTCCCAAATTTTATTTAGAAATTAAAAATTGTTGCATGCATTGGACCCTCACCTTTACAGCCACAAAATATCTCGTCATCATCTGGATGAGATGTCCTTTGAAGTTGGACATAAGAGAAATTTCTTTATTTTTTCAGATTATGCACAGAATTTCATTGATCTTGTCAAATCTTAATTCATACACTCTTTCTTTTTTTCAAGACTTTTTTGTTTAGCCACAGATATTTGCCCTATCAGTTCTTGCAGACGGTTTCTGTTGCAAGAAAGCCTCTTCTTAGCAACACCATTAGGTTGTACAAATAAAAAAAAACTGTTGAAGTAGAGAGCATGGTGGAACAACTTTTAGATTATCAAATTTCCTTCCAAACTGAAAATAGCAAAATGTACTTCTTTATCACTTTTGAGCTCTTGTTCATTAATCAATGCTTGTTTCTCTTCTATGGTGAGGCAACAATTCAAAGGCATATAAAGACTCAATATTTTGATAATATCAACTTTTAGATACCTTTTTATGGCAAAGTTGCATTTATCAATGTTAATTTTTTGATGAAAGTCATACTACAATTTATCTAACACAGTTTGTTTGCAGAGTACTAACTTAGAAGAGCAATTTATCTTTACATAGTACTGTAACATGATCATTCAACAGGGTTCTAACTGTAGTTGTATAATTTTGAAAATGCATGCAAAACAAACAAAACACTCAAATTTATTAAATGTGTGTAAAATATACTAAGTAAATGAAAATGAAACATTTTTTTATAAGTTTTAAATTAATTAAACTTAAAAGAAAAGCATAACATAGAAAACTGATCAAAATAACAACGAAAGAATATTCAGTTTATATTAAAACAAAATGTTGTGTTATTGCAATGTTGATGCAATGTTATCAAATGGGTTATTAATTTGCTAAATTGACTAATAAAGGAAATAAAAACATAAAACTCTTAAAACCAATAAAAAAAACTGATTAAAAACAAAGTGTAAAGGCTTTTAATGAAAATATTTAATAAAATATTTTAGCTGGGACATAAGTACAAACTTTTAAAAAAATTCACAAAAAAGAATTCTAATTCTTTGCAGTTATTCCTTAGGCATTCAAAGGGACAACAAAGAGGACACTTATACAGTTAGTCCAAGAAAAATTGGAAGAATTCTTTTTTTTTTTTTTTTTTTTA